CCCTTTCCAATAAGCATAGCAACCCTTCTGGGATCTCAAAGAAACCCGTATACGAACCTTAACGGAAAACGCACAGGAATTGTGAAGGAATCCTTCTGGTAACCCTGAAAGAAACCCTGTATAGTCACCCTTCTTGCAACCCAAAACCCTAAACCCCGAACCCTAAACCCTTACAGTAGCCCTTACAGCAAAAGCCAAGAGGCGACGCTCCAGGAATCGCGCCAGCACGCAGGTCCAAATCACACCATGGTCGGGCTCATGACAATTCCAGCCTGACTCTGTGTAGTCTTCGTTTCAAGACCTCCTTCAAGGGCCACCTGTAAGGGCTCCGAAGAGGATACCCTGAACCTTAAACCCTGAACGTAAACCCTGAACCCTAAACCCTGAACCCTAAACCCTAAACCATAGACCCTGAACCCTAAACCCTGAACCCTAAACCCTAAACCCTGAACCCTGAACCCTAAACCTCAGGTTTTGGTCTTGAAGGCTCGGGACTGCGGAGTTGCGCTTCTTGTTTCACGGCCTTGAACGCGACGCTCTTATGGCGGGGGTAGGGTTTAGGGTTTAGGGGTACGCATGCAACCCCATCTCGCTTTTCTAGGACGCCCGCTCTACTGACAACTGCTGTGGTGAAAGGCATACGCCCTAGTCTTGTAAGAAGGCCTGATTAGTTGGTCATAATATTCCTTAGCACTCCTCATTATAAGTATCTGGAAGCCGCGCAAAGAACCCTAATATAGGGGCCTTCATAATGAGAATAGGGTTTGGGGCCCATGACACCATAATTCAATAAAGGACCCCCAAAATACTGTCGGAAATTATTTAAGCCCCTACATTAGTCTAAAGATCAAGGCCCCCATATCAGACGCAAGGGCGGACTTCCGGTCAAGTTCATAGAGTTGGAGTTTGGCATGCAAGGCTTCAGGGCCTAAGGATTTCAGAATTAATTCCTGGCTTTGGGGTTTACGGACTTGAGGGTTTAGTGAAGTGTCCACGAGCTTGATTTAAAGTCGGGATCCCGGTCTTCGAGTTCACTTGTGAAGTGGCTAGCCATGGTGCTCGCTTCAATCTCCGAGTTGTTTACTCTTCCGAATGTCGCCGTTCCTGTTTCTACAAGCAGTCACAAGCACGGATTGCTACTGCTATTGCTATGACCTGCACCTACATCTATGTTGCTACGGAACCCGCCACTTTGTGAGCATGCACGGTGTACGTCTCTATGTGTATGTATGATATGTATACATATCTATATATGTACGTATATGTCTGTAGGTGTGTGTGTGTGTGCGTGTGTGTATGTGTGTGTGTGTATGGGTGTGCATGTGTGTGCATATATCTATATCTATATCTATATCTATATCTATATCTATATCTATATCTATATCTATATATGTGTGTGTGTGTAAGAAATACATAGCTGCGTCATGTGAACATAGACTCTATGTATGTATGTGTGTATGTACGTATGTATGTATGCATGTATGTATGTATGTATGTATGTGTACGTACACACACATATATATATATAAACACATACGCATCTTAACAAGGCTGTGTTTGTGACTTTGGCAAGGAGTGACTTCAAAGACCCGCGCCGAGCATGGAATGCCCAAACCCCACATTCCCAAACCCTAAACCACAAAGCCCATATGTAAACCCCAAACCCTAAACCGAAAAACCCAATGATAACCCTTCTTGCAACCCCTGTAAGAACCCAGCCCTGAAGGTAAACGTCTTCTGACGCCAAAACCGCCATCCAAACCCGTCCCGAGATCTCCCGTCTCCTCGGCTCTGACAGGGCGAGGACGGCCTGATCTCCAGCCTTGAGTCGGGTTCAGAATTTAAGGCCTTTTTTGCTGTTGCCTAAAGGGGATTTCCCTTCCGCCGGCTTGGCAGCCAGGGTTCGGTGTTTGGGGTTTTGGGTATGGGCGTTAGGCGGTTTAGGGCCTAGGGAAGCCTTAACCAAAATTCAAACCCCCGTCGTCCAAGCCCTGGAAACTTTAGGGCTCCAGGCGGCAGGCCATAGGGTGCGGGGGTTGAGGTGTTGTATTTTCGGGGTTGAGGGCTTAAGGTTGAGGCTTTGGGGCTTAAGGCTTAGGGTTTAGGGCTCTGTGTTTCTACAAGGTATGGCGTGTATTTCAGGAACGTTGAGCACGGCCCCTCTCGTGCCATGACACCAAACCCTGAATCGAGTGAGGCAGGCTGCATTGTATCTCCACAACAACACCCCAAGTGTACGCCCACCTCGAGTGTGAACCCCTACTTCTAAACTTGACTGGAGCTTAAGGTTCAGAGCTGCAGAATGATGGGGTCCGGGCTTCCGGTAGCGATACTGTCTCTGATGATTCGTCCATAAAGCACAACATTATACAGTCAAAAAACCTACGATGGATAATCTGCTTGCCAATGTAGGTCAAGGAGCTTTCTAGAACCCTTAACGAGCCCTTGTAGATGCCTCATGGAACCCTCATAGAAACCGAGAAACCATTGAACCACTTATGGAAACTTGGAAGACCCCTTGCATACTGTTTCGGGCTGAGCCGATGCCCTCGCAAAAAATCCAGGGGCTCAGGGTTTGGAGTTTCGGGGGTTTACGATGTAGCGTTTAGAGACCGGGGCTCAAGTTTGCGATGATTGCCGTGAAGAAAATGAGAAAACAAAGGACCCCTGACATGGACCCTACCTATAGTCTCCATTGTGGTTCCTTTTTGGGGTTAGCTTTTAGGATCCTTAATATGAAATTGGTCAAACCAAAAAAAGGACCTACAATGGAGACTATAGGTAAACACGAAGATCCTGAAGGACCCCCAATATCAAAAGAGTTAGAATGCCGGCGGTGTGCCAGATAACTGTCATCCTTGTTCCTTCGAGGACCAGCTAGCTCTGTGGATGCTGCTAATTACTCGGCTATGTTTGACATGTATGTATGTGTGTTTGCGTGTTGTCTGGCTTCGTTGTATGTTTGTGTGTTTGGTTGCTTGTCTGCTTGTTTGTTTGGTTTTGTTGCGTGCTGACTTGCTTGCTTGCTTGCCTGCTTGCCAGTAGGGTCTCAGGTTTCGGGCTTCAGGGTTTTAGGCTCTTCCCCGTCACTAGTTTTCCCACGTCCCCTCTAAACCCCAAACTCGAAGCCCCAAACCGCGCCTGTGGACAAAAAGACGTCCCCGGGGCGTCGAAGCATGCTTCGCACCATGGGTCGCGCGTTTTGGGTTTAGGGCGTCGGGTTCAGGGTTCAGGTGTTTAGGGCTTCGGGTTCATGGCTTCGGGGTTGAGGGTTTTTGGGGTTTGGGGCTTTGGGTTTCAGGGTTTCGGGTGTGGGGCCTCCGAGGTCTCCAGGGTTTGTTGGAGCTCTTTGTTGGAGCTCCTAGACGTCATGGCAAAGCTTTAACTTCATGTTGCTGGGGGAGGCCGCTTAACATCGATCAACCCCAACAGGAAGGAGAAACCAAACTTCATAAAAGCGTCCGGCAACCTTCTAACCACCGTGCCTGATTCAGCGAAACATGTGGATGCGGCTAAGCAAGCTTGAGAAAGCTCATCGCAAAAACGTTCGACAATGCAAGATCCCACAAAAGCCGACTACGCCTTACATCTGTAGTGCAGGACTTTGGCTGGACAGAGTGTTCCCTCCAAGTTGTTCAAGGTCAACTTCTGTTGAAGACCCAACACAACATAGACTTGAGACTCTTCTGCTTGCAAAGCGGCGAAGACATGACTAGTCTTGTGCCAAATCCATTTCAAGACAACAAGCAAAGTATCCGTTTGCGGGTCTCGTCGTGACATAGAGAAGTTCTTTGACTCCAAGCGCAGCTTGTCGATGAGCCCTGACCCTCGCTCCTGAGGTCGTCAGCTGCCCCTTGCTGGATGTCTCAGAGACAAGCAACTCGACTATTGTTATTGTTATTATTATTATTGCTATTCTTATTATTATTAGTATTATTATTAGTATTATTCTTAGTATTATAATTAATATCATTGACCCTGTGAAGAGTCACCGGGAATTAGACTTCTGTCGAGGCCCGAGGCTGTCTTATTCTCTCTCACTCTCTCTCTCTCTCTCTCTCTCTCTCTCTCTCTCTTTATGGGGTCAAGCTACGGCCGGTGTAGTAAAGTAGTTGAGGCCCTCAGCCACCGCGCCCCGAGGTATTCATCTTGTGAGGGTATGACTTCTGGAAGTATCTGATCTGAAATATTGACTGTGTGCTTGTGGGTACATCCACTGCACATCGGATTGAGCAGGAGAGTGTCAGCATTTGTTCCGTGTGCCGATGCCTTCTGTTCGCTGCTTTCCGTGCATTGGATGTGTGGGTGAACGGAATCCTGAAGGTCATAAACTTGATGCACGTTCCCTGAAGGGCTCAACCATCAAACAAAAGGGATATATCTTAGAGTTAGGAAAGATGGCGGAGCCAGCTTGCATCACAGAAAAAAATCGCAAGAAACTGAACCATGTTGCACCGTCAGCTCCTCAGAAAAATTGTATTTGTGAAACGAGGCACACCGCCGCTGTGGGATCGGTTAAAGACCCCTTGGTTTAGAGTTACTTTAAGGGCCAATACGGGGTTTAAGGTTTGGCATGTCATTAAGGGGATCAATCAGGGCAGGGCTGCTACACGGGGTACTATAAGGGTGCCTACAAGGGTCTTATGGGAGGTTGACGGTTCAGGGTTCAGGGCTTAGGGTTTGTTTGGTTAGAGCTGCCTGGCTTGCTGCCCAACAATGTGCGGCCTTCCATAAGATTTGTACACCCCATCTGGCAAAGACCCTTGATGGGGCTCTGGGAAAACAGCGGTCAGATGGATGTAACCTGGTTAACCCCAAGCCTTGTTCGCACATAATGTAGAGGCCTCAATAATTAGAATAGGGTTTGGGGGTATCTTATACTAAAAATATAATGAGGAACCCCCAAAACCCTATTCTAATTATAAAGGCCCCTACATTAAGTGCAGCCGGGGATTTGCTACGGCTCCTTTGCACCTTCAAAGGAGCATGAGCAAGCATTATCATAGCGGCTCGCTGATGTCAGGCATGGGTGTGTGCCTATCTAGCCAGCACAAGCAGCCGGCCAACGCACCGGAGACCACGGCCTTGATGTGGGGGTCTTCATGAGGAAAACCGGGGGTTTGGGCTACAACTTCTCATCATTGTGTAAAGGCTGTAGTGAGATACTACGACACCAAGTTGGACACAAGTACTTAGAGTATAATACAATATACTATTATATAACATGGAATCATAAATATTTAGTATAGTATAATATAGTAATATATAATACAATACTGCTTTGTCTGGTCTCTACTGCTCCCTTGTACCAACACCCGGTCCCCGCAAGCCGGAACCAGAGCAAATTCAACACCTGGGGGATTTGTTCGGTACGGCTTGCGTTTAGGCTTCAGGGTTTTAGGGCTTTGGGGCTTTAGGGTTTTGAGAGGGTTCAGGGTTCAGGGTTTTCGGGTTCTAAGGCTTAGGGCTTACGCGGGGTGAGTTTCCCTGAGCTGGCCGACAAAGCTGCGAAGAGGATGCAATGCTCCAGACTGGAGGCATAGGCCGCAACTGCAAGATTGTTTGAGTAGTAGAACATGGCAGCGACCAACGATATGATCCTTGGTGAAGTGAAGCTCTGGATGTTGAGAGCAGGGCTGAGAGTTAAGGAAACAGCTTGCAATTGCAATTCTCCTGAAGAGCAACCAAGGATCAGAAATGTCTGCACATGGTCCAAGCGGCCAAAACGACGGGCAGCAAAGCGATCCGAGAGGTAGTGCAAGATCACTGAGACACAAATACCGACGAAAACGTCCACCCCCAACAGAATCGCCAAGGCAAAGGCCAGCAAAGACTCAAAGGGGGCACCACCCTTCCACATGGCCACGAAGAACTCCATACTGACGGACACCAAAGCCGCCATCAGGAGAAGAAGGTATTTGAAGGGAAAGCGCTTGGCCATTCCAGGTTCCAAGTCCTGCCGCAGGTCCTGACGTACGAACTCCGTGAAGGCTTCCTCGGGAGTTTGAGTCATCCCTAAACCAGAAACCCCGGAAGCCCTAAACCGCTAAACCCAAAGGCCCTAACCGTAACCCATGTTGCCTTCCCCCAGCCCCCTCTCATCCCCTTTCAGCTTCGCCTTGCTCCCGTACCACTTCGAGATCGCAGAATGAATGAAGATTCCTTGGTGCAGAGATAGCTCCCCTCCTTTCTCTCAGTAGCTGCCCCAACGGAAAGCCACTTCAGCCGCCAAGTCTCGGTCGAACTCGTGCATGCATGAGACCTTGTTTAGATCGAATTGCCGCAACTCCCGTCGCCTGGCACAGACGGAGATTTTGACAATCGCAGACGGGTTTCAGGCCCTGAACCCCGAACCCTGCACCCCAAAGCCTAAACCAAAGACGCTAAACTTTAAACTGAGGAGCAGATGGTGCTTCTCCCGGTAGTTGCTCCGGAGAAGGGCGGTCGCAACCGCGTTCAAGACGTAGAAGGTACCGAAGGCAAGATAGATCGTAAACCGATATTCATCGCCCGACCTCCAAGGTTCAAAGAAACTATCGAACTCCACTAGAGCAAGGAATATGCCTTAAAGGATCATACCGTGTTCCACAATGGGCTTCCTATCAAGGAGTATGCCGTGATCAAGGCTTTGTCGGCTTTCCTTTTCGGACGAAGGTTCTGAGCTCGTGTTTCGACTCAATCAATCACTTCCTTAATGAAAGGATAAGCCTTGATTTCTTCTGAACTTCTATTTCGATTTTGAGAACTCCTCAATGAATCAGAAGCAAATTCGTACTGAATGCATATGCCTATATGAGCTTTTCTTTTCGATTTGGGCAGTTCTCGATACTGGAGTCCCTCTCTAAGCCCCCGAGATAGTCCGGCACCCGTAAAAAACCTAAGAGGGGACCTTCATGCAAAGAACTACCCATGCTGAACTTTCATGGCTTTTCGTTTCGACTTAAAGAACCACCTCCTTAATCAAGCCTCTACAGTATCTCGGGGTTGCAACCGTTTGGTAGGGCTGAGGTTTACTCCAACTGCATTTTTTGAGGGTTGCACCTCACAGCTTACAGGTCATAGGCCCTAAACCCTAAACCCCCCGGAGCTTCGGCTCCCAGCCTCCCAACCACGTAGACGCCCAGGGACAGGACAGAGAAGAGGAGAACCAGGAAGGTCCGCTCCTGCGCTCGGGCAAAAAAGATGTCCGGTTTTGTTTTTTTCAGGTTCTTTGTCGAGGCTTTTCTGTGGATCTATGGAGGGTTTTGTAGGACTACTACTATGCAGGTATATGGGTAGAGGTATATAGATATAGATATACAAAGATACATAGATACTTGGTGCACATATAAAGGCAAACAGGTTCAAAGATTTACAGATATAAAAATTTGTAGATATATAGATGTATTGCAGATATACAAACATTCAACTGTACACATATATTTGATGTAATGGTTTCAATTTTTAAGGTTTGGGCTTTCGAAGCCTCAAGGCTCAAGCGGCTTTATATATCTGGGCTGTGGACTAAACAGCTTAAGATTCAAAACTGGATCAAAATTTTAGGCTGACGGGCTTCCCTAAAACCGTAAACCCGCAACCCTTCCCCCCAAATTCCTTCCAAGCCCTGATCCCTGAAACTGAAAGAAACTATGCCGAATCAAGGGCCAAGACTATCATAGCATGGCGACTTTGTCAATACAACGGAATTCTATAAAGAATTTCCCCAACCCCTAGACCCCGAACCCTGAACCCTAAACCCCTGTAAATCCTAAACCCTAGGTTGGCTGCTCTGGAGAATATTCCCAGCAAAGCCTTAGTACCCACGGGCCCAACAACCCCAAGCCCTCAAACCCCATGCCCGAAAAACTTAACCTTTAGCTGCAAAGCACTTAAACACCAAATCCCTAAACCCGAGAAACCCTTGTTGTTATGCCGTTCTCCCCCAAAGCCAAAATTCTGGATCTTGTCACCAGTACGGACGCTTGTCAATGATAAGGCAAAGCCCTCTAAACCCTAAACCGTAAACGTGGCAAAGTTGCGACGAAGAGCGGCCGGAAGCTCATGATGCCAGTAGGATTGACCTTTTGCGCCAACATCTGACAAACTTCCTGTCGGCTTCTATACGGGTTCTACATGGGCTTTGGGATTTCAGAAATCAGAATACGTGTTGTGGGTATGTAACGTGCTATTTGCTGACGCCAAGCCGTAGCCGTTAAGAGCCGGGCGTCGGTTTAGGGGGTTTAGGGTCTGTGGGTACTATACGATACTATACCATACTACACAATACTCTACTACACTATTTTACTACACTGTCATAATATACTATGCGATTATCATATTCTATATTAAAGAACCCTAAGGGATAGTGTAGTGTAGTAAAGGAAGTCACGAGGATCCCCATCAACCTGCCCTTTGACGGCACACAGTCCGTCCCCTCAACCCTGAACCCTGAACCCTTTCCGGTTTGGGGTTTCTGCAAACCCTTGAGGGTTTAGGGCTTCTAGGGTTTAGGGTTCGGGTTTCTAGGCCTTGGAAAACCGAAAGTGTAAGATTCCAGAACGCTGCCCGATCAGCCGTCCCTTTCAGCCACGTCGCCTTCCTGTAGGCTGCAAGTTCAAAGACACACCAAAGACGAGACCTAAGACTGTTGAGTTAGTTCCTTGAGTTCCTAAACCTAAAACCCTAAACCCTAAACCCTAAACCCTAAGACGCTAAGGTTTCGTGTTGAGGATTCAAGGCTTGGGGCTTGGAGTTTAGGGCTTGGGGCTTCAGGTTAAATTTTGGCATTGGAGTCTGGGGTCTAGGGCTTAGGGTTTGGAGTTGAGGGTTGGGGTATTCGGATTTGGAGTGTAGGGTGTCGGGTATGCAGATTCCAGGCACTCTCTGCACATGACCCGCAGCTTGAATGGCATTCACTCACGGCAAAGAAGCAAACGCAACAGAAACATGCCTTGCTGACTGAATGGGGCAAACCCTGAGATGCCCCAAAAACCCGAGAGAAAACCGCTTTCAGCAGATAGACTACCAGCTCCCCGTTAAGAGCTGGCACGGCTCCTGCTCAGACCCTGGCAGGTAGGGTGCGCTCCAAAGCACGCGGAGCTCCGAGGAAATGCGCAAGAACCCGGCAATGCCGTACACCCCCCGCTCCATGAGAAGACTGTCCTCAAAGCGTACATACGCCTAAGTTACTAAGGGTCCAGGGAGGTGATGAGGTTCATCTTGCGTGTTGGGGGGGGGTACATTATGCCATAAAATTCCAAGGAAGCTCAGAATAGTATTGGTGTTTCTGCTACAACTGCCCTTCCGCGTGGACCAGTCAAGCACAATCGTTGGCTATCTAATGCATGGCCCGAATGATTAGACTACGCAGTTACTACTATAAGTATACTCGGGAGTCGTAATGGGTAGGTACTAAATATGAACTATCAAAGCCCCTGTGCTAACCGGATCAAGGCAAACCTGCCTCTCCGAAGAGTGCAGGACACAGGCGACAGGCTAAACTCTTGAAGGCAATTTTCTCTATGACGATTTCTCACAAACTCTAAATCCCAACCCTGACTCGGAAATATAGTTGCATAGTTTCTGTTCCGTGGCTTTAACATAATAAGGACCGAACCGGCGAGACCTTTCCCACACCTCTCGGCTCCAAATCACGGGTGTCGTTTGTGGGGAATATACAGGTTAGCTCCTGTTGGAAACTACTTTTAGTAGGACAAGACTTCACTCTATCGTTTCTGTAGTGAGCATCATCTTCATCATCATCGCCATCGCTCGTTGTGCCCTCCGGCGGATTGTTGTATAGTGTGGCGATAAACAGTACATACCAGTGGCTAGGTCATCATCATCGCCAGACATCATTCATTATGTTGTGTAGTGGCCAAAACATTGTAAATAATCGTATTTGGGCATGGTCGCCGTCAGAACCGATGTCATTATCCACTCCCGCCCCCCCCCCCCATGCGACATGTCCCGAACTGCAACACGGCGCCCTATGCGCCCGCAACGTACCAGAATAGTTGCTAGAAGTTTAGACTTGGGCTTCGGGCTTTGGGGTTTGAGGGTGTTGGGGTATCGTCCTCCTGGTTGATGCTGACGACATCGATGAATCCCATTTCCGGCTGACTGCAAAAATCCGGCAAGTGGGGCGTCAGAAACCATCCCAATAAGAGAGCCAGTGCGCCAGAACCGTAAACCCACAGGCCCATAGGACACTCCTGGGCAGGAGGAATTTCTGGCTTCAGGTGTTGCTCAGGCTCCAGAAATCTTGAGCAGACGGCAAGCACGGTGTAGTGGGGGTTTAAGAGTGTTATTGGCTGGGGCAAAAGAGGCCTGAGATGGTCGCATACCCCCCAAACCTAGACCCCAAAACTAGTCCTCGGGCCTGTTTAGCTTGAAGGTTGTCGTTTCATGCCTGGGGGCTCTTTTAATCAAGAACTCAGCCAGGGTTGGCGTGTCTGCGTCAGGCGCTAAGACAGCCAAGACGCGTCTGTGAACCCTATGACGTTTGGCTTGTATGGCAACGGCATTGGTAGCACATCCAGCAGGCACAAAGCAGTGGATGCAAGCTCCGCCACACACCAGAGGGCAAACGTGCTCCGCCAGCCACATTGGAAGGAGAGAGCTACAGCTTTGTGCCAACCAGGCGTTTGCCACGTGTGCGAGAGGAACACGTCGAAGGACTCCACGTTCTGCGAAAGCTCGTGAAGTTCAGCACGCTGGGCGGGCTTCCAGGTGGCGGGCTTGTAGCGCCAGACCCGCCCGAGTCTCTTCAGAGATCTACGGAGAGGTATACCCCAAAGAATTTCGTCATCCACGTCGGAATACCCGCCCGAAACAAGCCGCTCCTCCTTTGTCAAAGTCTTTGCCACGGCCATGGAAGCACCTGGGCTGCTTGCTGGCCCCACGGTCTCCCAGGTGGAGCCTCGGGGCCGTGAGGATTGCGACGGCGAATCCAGGCAGTCGAAGGGCGACACCGAATCTGCGATGGATGGCTCAGACTCAGGAGCAGCGTCTCCCGGTTGCCTCCGCACCGCTTCAATAACTTCTGGGGGCACTTCACCTCGTGCCGAGCAGCACGGTTGCTCGAAACATGTCTCCATCGGCTTCTGAAACCACGATTTATTACAGCAAAAGAACACCCGTGCTAAGCCCTGAACTCTAAATTCCTAAACCCTACACTCTAAATCCTAAGGGTTTCTTACTCCCAGCGGCTTCTTAATACGCTTCTTGCATTCGGGAATCTGTAAACTTTGCCCTTGAGCCGGTCGAAGCAGCACAGGAATTCGAAGTCCGAGTTCGGAAAGCGAGCAATCTTGGTCTAGGTCTTGAGGTTTAGGCTTTAGGGCTGAAGTATTGGCGATAGGAGATCGAGTCCTGAATCATTCGACTAAGGGCTTCGGGGCATCACCCTAAACCCTAAACCCTAAACCCGAAACCCTAAACCCTAAACCCTAAACCCTAAACCTTGCCACTAATCGTCAGGTTCAGGATGCCAGAGGAATAGCAACTCCAATCTTCCAGGCCCCAGGATTCACGGAATCCTGGGACCTAGGGTTGTCCTTCGCTTTGGGTATAGGGTTTAAGGTTTGAGGTTTAGGGTTTAGGGTTTAGGGTGTTTCTTCTTGTGGAAAGGGGTAGTAATCTTGTGGGGGGAGGCGGGGAAATATACGGTCCTGAGCAACTACCAACAGCATTCCTTAGGGCTTCAGGCTCCTTAGCTCCTGAACAAAAGTATACGAATCACCTGCCCCCAAGACCAAATCTAAGCATGACGGTCTAGAAGAGCTGGGGCTTAGGGGACTGGAAGGTCCCGGCACTCTCAAGAGATCCAAACGCCCTAAACCTGAAATTTAAGTGACAAACCTTAAACCGACCCTCACACCTTAAACCTTAAACCCTAAGCCCTGAACCCTAAGATGCCCGGCTATGGGACTCGGGTGGGTGCCACGAAGCCTTCATTCGGGCCCACGACGCCCTGAACGGCTCGAGGCTTAGGAGTTGGGCGAGCTCGGGGGGGCTTGGGGTTTTTAGCGGCAGTGGGAACTTCAGCCCCCTTTATCCCGAAACCCTCCTGCTTAGATCCCAAAACTCGACCCCTTCGTGGTTTGGAGTGTCGACTTGCAAAAGTCGGTACCAAAGTTTAGGAGGTCCGGGAGCCCTAGGCCCTGAGCCCGAAACATGGCGCAGCATCCCACGGGCTCGAGGTTGCAGGGGTCGTTGCTTCGTTTTGGCTTCACCGCTCCTTCAGCGAGTTTCGACATGAAGCATCCACGCGACTTTTTCTGCGAACAGAGGCAAGGACGCATGTAAAGCATCCCCGTGCTCTAACTTGCCGTTAAACCCTCGGAGCGTTCAAAAAGGATGACCCCAGAACCCCTAAACGCCCCAGAATTCTGGGATTCAGGGCGCCTGGGATCTAGAGTCCTCAGGGTTCGGGGTTTAGGATTGAGGGTTCGGTGACATTTTTAGGGTTTATTCGGTTCAGGGTGTTTTATTTAAGCCTCAAGAACGAGGGCTCAGGGCTTCGATTTTTGGGCCGTTTTGAGCGTTTTGGATTCCCAGGGTCTGTAAGGCTAAGCCTCTTAAAAAGTTGAAGAGCAGCGATTGCGCAGGGACGCCATCCGAGATGCTTCCGGGAAGATGTCGGACAATGGGCCTGCAGGGTTCTATTCGGGTTGCTTGGGGGGCATTCGTCGGGTTTTGTAAGGCTTCTCTGCAAGTCTGCTCGGGTTTGTAGTGGTGTATAAGACTGTAGACAACTCCTTCCTCCAGAAGGCCTTGCTAGCCTTTAAGGACTGGGATCCCCGATTGAATCATTCTCAGCGGGGGGTTATTCCATTCTTATAAGCCCTTCTGTGAATCCCCCGCAAAACCGAACAAAGCACTCAAGAATCAAGCCCTTTGGGACTTCGGGTTCGGGGTTGAGGGTTTAGGGTTTAGGGGTTTAGGGTTTAAGGCTTAGGGTTTAGGGGAGAAGGGTTTAGGGGTTTAGGGTTTAAGGTTCAGGGTTTAGGGGTTTACGGTTGAGGGTTTAAGGTTTAAGGTTTAGGGGTTTGGGGTTTAGGGGCTCAGGGCTTAAGGTTTCGGGCTGAACAGCGCCGTGAGATGGTCTCTCGTTCACGCTGCCCCCATGCAGCCAGCGGCTTTTAAAGCCCGCCGGCATGATTCACCCCCCGCAAAAAAGGCGAAACTGCCCGGGGAAACAAAGAGCTCCTCGCCATACCCGCTTAAACCGTGGACCCTGATTCCCAAGCTCGTTGACCCGGGGCAGCCACCACAGGCCAGAGGCTGAATTCGATTCGCAAATTCCCCCCTTTAAAGGAACCCTCATTCTGGTAGGAACCCTAAACCGAACCTATAGACTCAAATGGGAACCCTCATCGTTCTAGCAACCCTAAACCCTGAACGTTTTAGGAACCCTTATCCCTTTTGGAGGAACCCTTCTAGGAACCCTCAATGGGAACCTTTAAAGGGGATCAGCAAAGGTAAGCCCAGTGGAGCGATCCAGCATTTTTTTTGGTGTTAAGGTTTTAAGGTTTAGAGTTTTGAGGTTTAGGCTTTAGGGTTTGGGGTTTAAGGTATCGGGTTTAGGGTCTAGGGGATCGGGTTTAGGATTCCTGGAAGGGCTGCTATAGGGGATTTGGGGCTTAGGGCTTGGGTTTTCCGGGATCTGGGCAGAGCCGAAGTAAGGATTCTGCTGCCGGCACTCTGGCGGATGATGAACTTGTGGCTATACTCGGATGCTTTCTGTTATCAGCGGGTGTTGGGGTCTTGCAATTATTATCAGCATTATTCTTGTTATTGTTAGTATTACTTCTCAATATTATTACCTATTGTTATTATTGTACAATAACATGATTTCAGAAGGACGGATATAAGACATAGGGTATGCGTCTCAGAGGATTGACCTTAGGGTGTCAAGAGAACACTGCAGAACCACTTCGACAAGGATGTTGAATGTTGCACGCAGGTTGTTATGGTTCGCTGACTAAACAACAAAAGATGTTCTTAATGCATTGAACATACAACGTGCCTTTATTGCTAGGTTACAAGAGTCGAGTAGCACGGGGTTACACTACGATGGTATACAATACTGTCTATACATAGCTTCGAAGAAACATATATATATATAGAAAGAAAAAAGAAAGAAAGAAAGAAAGGAGCGCAAAGGAGGACATACATAAAATCATGTCTAAGATAAGAAAAGAAAAACGTCTTCCGACAAGGAATAGGCTATAGTAAACAATGACAACACATCAGCATGACAGAGATAAAAGGGATGGAGATAGTGAGCCGCAGTGGAATAATTATGATGTAGTCCAAAGCAACAAATACACAAGAACAGCTAGCGTTGCAGGAGAGAAAGGAAAGAGTAAGGCAGGAGTTCGCGGGGGCGGGGGGGGGGGGGCAACAAAAGACTCTATTATATATATATATACATACACACACACAACACATATATATATATACACACACACACATACCTACAGTATGTGTTTTATTTTGCTTTTCTGTTGCGCCCCTCCCTCCTCCTCACATCCTGCCCTAACTCAAACCCTCTTTGCTCGCAACTGCAAGCAGGCGTACTGGGACAACAAAGTTTATGCATACACGAGTGTAGATGTGTGATGTGAAGCACTTGTAAAGTAGTAACGTACATGACCCCCTTCAGGCGAACCTTCTGTACTTTTAAATGATTATGATTGCCATTATTGTGCTTATTATTCGTGTTGCTTGTTATTGTTATTGTTGTTAGATTTTTCGTATTGTTTACTTATTATGACATGTTTATATGATTATCATATATTGGGCTTCGAAAATCCGAAAGCCTCTCGTAGCTGGCTTCCTGCACGAACACAGCTTGCTTTGTCCTAAACTCGTCGCGAAGGTTCTAATGTTCCTGGGTTCTTGCTACCCTAAACCCTAAACTCTAAACCCAAACCATAAACCCTGGGCAAAAGACAACCCCATGTCCTAAGCTTCCCTAATCTGGGCTCTCTAGATCCCTATTGTGGTGACTCAGAAACTCCTTCACCCGAACCCCGATCCAGAATGTGTTCGACGTGCTACAACCGGCACTCTAGACGCCGAACCCCTAAACCTCAAATACTAAACCGCAGAAACTAAGCCCAAACCGTGAACTCCAATTCCTGTGTAGTCACCCTTAAGAAACCCTATTTGTGGAAAGTCTAAACCACACAACCTTCAACTTGAAAGCCAACTTTAAGTCCTAAGCCTGACCACTCAATGCCCCAGAAAAACCAGTGCCCCTCAACTAAGCAACATGGCTTCAATCATAGGTCGGGATCCCCCTATGATGCACAGAATGCTCCTCGTTTTTGGATTTGAGCTCTCTCTGGGCCTTGCTCGGCCGCCCTTAGGCGAAGATGTCCATCGCCCCGCTTGTCGGAGCGAAGCCGTGCACGTATGTAGGCCAAGGGGGCGCGCCTATAGTTCGCTTGATATTGCCAGTGTGATCCATCTTATCCCGGAACCCTTCTAGAACCCTAGACCCTACAAAAGCGCTATAGCATGCTTATGAGCACTTCTCTTGATCCTTAAACCCGAGCAAACCCCCCCATGGCCACATCCTTCCGAGGGCTTCGATCCCCCGCCGCCCCCTCCTGCGGGCTCAGGGAGAGGAGTATATAATGTAGGGGTCCTCGTAACTAGGATCCCTTTACATAAGGGGCCTTTTTTTGCTGGCATACTACATGTGAACTCTGTAGGGAGTAAAGCAAGAAAAACCTTACGAATCATCCTTCAGCTTTTAGCGACTCCCTCCAGCGACCCCTGATACTACGAAGTTTCTACAGGCGTTAGGTTTTGTGCAGGATTTCCTAGAGGCTTGAAAATGAATGTTTTACACAAGGTTCCCCTGAAGGACTCCAGATGGCTCACGAACCCTTGGCCCTAGGCCCGGTGTTGGCGAGAGGGGGCCGAGAGCGCATGCAGAATTCGGGCCACATCCCGGTGCATTCGGTCCGCCTTCTGGTGCAAGTCCGACCTTCTTGGGGTGTATACGGGTGACTGTAGGGAACACCGGACTGCAATAAGGGTGACTACAAGGGATACTACAAGGGTCGGCAATAAGGATTGCTTTCAAGGTGACATAAGGGGTTTTGAGCCAAGGGCTTTAAGGCTTTACGGGTTTTAAGAAGTTTAGGGTTTCATGGTTTGGGGTCGGACCTTCTGGCTTTAGGATTCTGGCTTAGGGGCTTTAGGGTCCCAGAGCCCCCACTGGAAAGGCTTGAATAATTAGATTTTTGTGCTTTGGGCATCGAAGTTCGGACGTAAAGTTGGTTTAGGGTTTGAGGAGACATACGTAGGTCGTAGGCATGCTTTGTATGTACGCATGCATGCATGATCATGTGTATACATATGTACGGATGTCTGCATTGTGGCACGTACATATGCATGCAAACGCATGCATGCAGTACACGTGGGGGTTGCTGAGAGTCTGCGGCACCTTGCTCAAGGTCCCTATGCAAACTATGCCAGGCAGCCGACTATCAAAGCAAGGCCTCTAAACTCGGGCACCCCCTAGGAAAACATCGAACCTAACCATTAAGGTCTCGAGCACTTTGATAGCTCACACTGCAACCGCCAAGGGGCTGCAGTTTGTCCACCTTCACCTCCAGCTGATCCAGCCGACGGTCAAGGGGTCCTGAAGCTGCGTGCCAAAAACTCTAGACGCACGCAAACCTCAAATAAACCAATCCGAAACCGATATCCATAACTCCTACATTACCGGGCTTCGGAGAGAGTGGATCGTTAACCCCCACACACACACACACACGAAAACCAAAGCTGCAGAGCCCCAAAGCACCCAATAGACTTGAAACCCGTAACACCCTTTGCGGTTTAAGGTTTTGGGGTTTAGGGGGTTTTAGGGGGCTTAGGGGGTTTAGGGGCTGCCCTGAACTTCTGGACCCCCACAGGCCCACCAACCACACAGCCCCAAGCACTCTAGTCCCCTAAATCCCGTATAGCAACCCTTCTGGTAGCCTTTCTCGTGGGCAGCCCTTATCCCGAAACCCAAGACCCCAAAACCGAAAATCCCTACACCTTGAACCCCGATAACCATGAACTCCACACCCTGGAGACCTGAAACCCCGAATAAATCCTCAACCATACAAAACCGCAAACTCAAACATCCCCGAACCCTGAAACCCGTAACTACAGTGACCTGGCTTCGAAGATCGCATGGCGCTCTCTGAAACCGCCTCCGAAGTTCGTGTCGTGGTCAAAGATGACGCGAAAACTACGGGGTGTTCCGTGGTGCGGCACTCTGCCACGGAACACATCCTGTGTGAAGTTCGCCTCTGCAGCGTTGGCTGAAGTTCTCAGCCCCTCCCATATGTGCGAAATGTGCTGTATCACATATCGGGGCATTGATGTCCTCTACTTGGCCATCTGTTGGGCGACAGCAGTGGTTTGAAGGAGGCAGAATATTGAGTAAGCGTGCTTAGCCAAGTCTTCTTCGCATCAGATGCTTCTAAACGTCTTGATGTAGAAAGCCCCTGTTGTAGCTCCATTCACGCAAATTTGCTGCGGGTCTCTGGGAATAAGTCCGCAGAAGCTGGAATTTGGGCTTCGGGGTACACGGCTAAAAGACTTTCGGGCTGAGGCATGTGGGATGCTTTGCTTGGAAACTTGTCGCGCCTGGGCCGACACCTAGTCAAAGCCTTAAATGCTCCGAGAACCTAAATCCCTTTTCGGATCGTCACAGTTGCAGTGCCCTAAACCGTATAAACCCTCAAGACTTACAGTCGCCCCTAAGAGATTACGGTTTAGGGTTTAGGGCCTTTAGGGTTTAGAGGCCTTAGAGTCATACTTGTCTTATAGAGGCCCCCGTCTGCTCGCCCTCTCCTCGTGCCGGCTCCGGGCCGGTGGGGCGGAAGGCGTCTCCGACGTAGCGATGCACGCTCCGGCCTGAAAGCAAGAGCTTAGCGTTTAGGGTTTAGGGAGACACATCAATGGACACTTCTTAAAAGCTTAGGCGACCTTCTAGGGTTTGAGAACTTGAGACGAGTCTCAATTATTGCAATATGCCTGCATGCAGGGTCTGATACACTTTACATATAAGGATTGTAAATTACAGCTCCAGTACGATTTCCAAGCCATAGAGGACTCCCAGGATTGGGAGACTTGGTAAGCAGGGTTGCAGGTACCTTAATTGGGGTTGTAGGAAACATTCGTTCGCTTGCTTATAACGGTAATGTAAGGGTCTGAATGACTAAGTGGTCGTATTCGTTTACTGTTTATTCAACATATAAATACTTCTACTGCTTCCTGAATCTCCTGAACCTCTCGGTAGCAGGGTTTGGGGCTTTTGGAGTACGCAAGAACTTACTTACCTCGTCCCGTGATCTTTTGAGGTAGGGTCTTGTGGTTAGGCGAGCATAAGACGTCCATCCAAGCAGCAGGTGGCACCCACGAAGGCAGGCAGTTAGGGCTGACGGAAAGACGCATTGGGTCTGTTGCTTCGCGTTTTTTGTAGGTCTAACATAGTAAGATGAACATGGAACAAATCCTACAATTACCCCGAAGCCTGAGACTCGAAGCCCCTTAAGAATCAGAATAGGGCATTGGTGCACATTATCACATAGCTATATGTCGAGGGCATACAGGAATCATTTTTCCGGCCTCTACAAAAAGCCCCTGTCACCAAGACCCCTTCAATCATCCCATACATGCCTACAAAATAGAGGCCGTAAAAACTCTATTCACGGTACCACGGCGGGCAGAGCCCCCAAACCACCTTAATGCCTAAAACCGACAACCCTCAACCCCAACCCGCCTAAATCCCCTTTGAAGCCCTTCTAGGACCCTAAACCCTAAGGCCCACAACTCCAAACCCCAGCCCAGGCACACAGCTTGAGGATGTCTGAGCACCTCAGGTCTCCCCCACGACCCGTGAAAATGATTTGGCCACACAGTACGGCGAAACCACAGAAGGGACCCGAGAGAGCCTAGACTTTGAGGCGTTAGGGTTTACGGACTTTGGGCTGATTTTTGGGTTTGACGGTACCCTAAAGCTGTCGTCTAGAATCGATTCCAGAGATCTAGTTGAAGTGCTACAACGAAGCAGGGTTGTCGGAGTTCTTCAGGACTGAAAGTGTAAATGAAGAAGCCGGTTGAGTTGAGAGTTTGTGTACCCTGAACCCTGGACCCTGAACTCAATGAGAGAACCCTCAAACCCCAAACCCCAAACCCTATACCCAGTCAAGAAACGCTTCAAGGCTATGGGAGTTTCAGGATTTCGAAACTGCCCAAGCGTGCCCGGGCACAGATATGTGGGCCTGCGGTTTGTTCTTATGGTTCTGGGGTATAGGGTTTTGGGGGTAATTGTGGGTTTGGGCATGAGGCTTTGACAAGCCCGGGGCTTTAGCTTCACGTTGCGGTCTAGGGCCTCGTTGTTGAAAGCTTTCCTGTCCCGGCTCCCGGCGCGGATCCTATAAAACAGACGTGGGGGGGTGCTGCGTACGGTGTGCATGATACGCATGGGAACCCAAAGTGAGTTTTACAGAAGGAGCTCTCAGGACACCGCATATGAACCCTAAGTCTCCCCTGCGAAACTTTCGACAGGCCATGAAGCCCTGCAGGAACCAGCGTTTTAGGGCTTGGAATCTTAAAAGGAATGTAGGGCTCTACATTATCCTGAGCCCCAATATGTCAGTCGAAGTAGATATCATGAGAGCATGAAGCGAATGAAACGGACACTGAACTCACAGAGTGCAAACCTCCTGGGGTTTGGGCTCCAAGACTCTGACATTTTGCTAGATGGTACGAGCACTGTCGAGGAACACTGTTGCTAGCTACTGGCCCGAAGCCCTGAAATCCACCTGAAAACACAGACTAGGCTTTCTTGGAAGGCGTTGCACCAAATGTACATTGACAAATCTTACGGAATACTTCTGCTAGATCTACAGGCCCCTAGATCACATCCTCATCCCCTTTGAACTTCAAGCCTCACCCCGAAGCTGTGGCACTACGGTGATTCAAGCAAGGCGCTGCTTCACCAGGCGGGTGAGCTCGATGGGCGTCTCGCTGGTTGAGGCCCGTAGGACGCCTGGGACGTTGAGGCTTTGGGTTTCGGATTTGGGGGACGCCCGACCCGAGGGGCACACGTCTTGGCTGAGGTCTGTTACCAAAACGCGACCTCTCCTCTTCTACACACGTGCACTCGTGCCGTTCGCGGTGTGGGGCGTGTAGGGTTTGCTGGAAGACTCTGGGTGGGCTATCTACGTAGCAGCGACCTAAGCTGGGATTGCATGCAGCCTAAACCCAAACGTAGTTTTGCGCCGATGCATGTCAATACACCTGACTCTAACACCTACCCCACTGCTACCAGACTTAAACAACCAACTTTGAGGCAATCAACTTTAACGCTGATGATGCATGCCTCTTCTGTGCACAAGACTGCATATGTCCAAAGCCCTCAGCCTTGAACTCTCAACCCTGCGCCCCAAGCCCGGAAAACCCCAGCCGCAATCTCCCCCACCCACCCAACTCCCAAACTGCCCGAGCCCCTATACCCCCAAAACCCTAAACCCCTACACTCTAAACCCCAAACCCTAAACCCCTAAACCCTCGACTCCGTCGAAAACCGCTGGACACAACCTTGTTGGTAACCCGTATAGTAACCGCCATAGTAGCTTAACCCTTTCAGTCTAAGCCTTTAAATTAACCCCTGTAACCCCATCCAGGCCTTCGCAGAACTCCGAAGTGTCCAAGGACCCGCCCCCGTCGTAGTCCAACATCTGGAAGAGGCCCTCGATGTCCTTCAAACTGGGTTCGTACAGGGTTCAGGGTATGAAAGTAGGGCTTCGGGTTCACGGTGCCTTTTAACCAGCACCATTCAGTGTTCATGGTTCAGGGTTTTCGGCTGCTTTCAGAAGAATTGGGTTTCTGGTGTTGGGGGTTTGGTTGATGGGCTAGGAGGCTGGGGCATAGGGTCCCTCTCGAGGTCAGTGCCTCCATAAAACCAACTACTCACTCAAATGGGTGCCCTGCTCTTGGGTGTCGTCTGCGGTGCTTCTTGGGGCCTTTGTAGTCCCCAGAGAACCCAATACTCCTTAATTAAGGAATAGACCTTAAATCATAATATTAAGATTAAGGCCCCTATAATTTAAGGCATATTCCTTAATTAAGGGGTATTGGGGCCTCTGTAGTCTTTCAAAGTGAAGGAGGCCTTAAGGTTCCAGACTTCTCGATGCGTTTGCTCGAAAGGGTTCTGCCGGAATTTTGGGATTCTGCTGCGCCGGGCAGCTGCCACACGAAGGTCGAGAGTTTAGGGTGTAGGGCTTCGGGGTTTCGGATGCAACTCTACTGTACAATGTTCGCAGAGTTTGTTTTGGGCAACGGCGTTCTTATGAAGTTCCGGCACTCACCCTGAAACACGGTAAAACCTCAAGACGCCACACTGCCCAACCTAAAACCTTCAACACCGAACCGCAGAAGAAAAGCGATACTCTTCCAAAGCTCGTCCGAAGCCGATTGCACAAAATCTTTAAAACCAGCCCAAAATCAGGCCCCAGAATCTAAGCCCGAAACCCCTTCACCCCAAACCCGGAACCCAGAAACCACAACGACCCTAAACCTTGAACCAGAAACCCTCAAACCCGCAGAAGCCCTACAACCCTAAAAAGGTGAACTCTACACTGAAAACACCCCAACCCCAAAACCCTAGACCCTAAACCCCAACCGCCAACCCCCAGAGGCGGTTCCTCTGTTCCGGCGACTTCCCGGAGCTGTTCAATGACCTGGCTTCTCCGAAGAAGTTGGGGGGTTCTTAGGGTTTAGGGTTTAGGGCCTTTCAGGGTTTGGCGTGCAGAGTCGAAAATGTAGGGTCTCGGGAGGTGGGCTGAGAGTCGTTTATGAAGGATTCTGGATCCCTTGCTTTCTGAAGAAGCTTCCTGTCTCATTCGAGCTTAGAGTCTGCAGGTTTGCGCTTTCTTCGGAGGCGGGTGTGGGGTCGAGTCGGGCTTGAGGTGCTAAACCCTAGACCTTACACCCCTAAACCCTAAACCCTAAATCTAGAGCCCTACAACCTAAACCCTGAGCCCTAAGCCCTAAACCCTGAACCTAACCCCGAAACATGCAGGGTCGAGGATGCCGCGATAAGGGGATAGCCACAACTCTTGGGATCCAAACGGGACGGAATCCGAATTCGGAGATATGGCAGATGACAAATAGTACTGCCACGATCTGTGTCCACCTACTTACGTCCCTATTTGTGCATCCATCTACCTGTATATGTNNNNAGAGAGAGGAAAAGAGAGAGAGAGAGAGAGAGAGAGAGAGAGAGAGAGAGAGAGGCAGGCATACTCGGCCCTGCGACCGACCAAATGCTTCTCACTCAACTCTTGCGCTGCGTTTTCGCTGGAACTCAGCTGTTGTGGACGCGCAGGGATTGAAAAGGGATCCGGACACACTGTTCCGACCATCAACCCCCAAACTCTAAATCCTGAGCCCACCCGAAACCCCGAAACCCACACCTCTCTGAAATTTTCTCAAGGGTTTACTAATAAAGGTATTGCTAGTATTATGATATTCCGTTATTGTCATTATTAGCAGTAGCTGTATCATTCCATTTAGACAGTAATGATAATAACAACCATAACCATCACAACATATTAAACAACAATAATAGTCAATGTGGAAGACTCCAGCTGAACCCAAACTCCAAAACCCCTACCACAAGCACAGATCCCCCACACAGTCAAGGTCCAGGATTGGGCTTCGGGTTTCGGATTTACGAGTTCGGGTTTAGGGTTTCGGGTTCAGGGTTTTAGGGTTTAGGGCCCGAGGCCCTATTTCAACGCTTGACTCGAACAAAGCCTTGCACATACCAGGTGTTCAGGAAATCTTTGCAACACATTTAGAAGATAACTTGCATGGAAGATCACGGAAACCGCCCTCTCGCTCACAAGAGCCCCGAAAAACAGCTTGAGGCCAAGGCTGTTTGCCCAAATCCTGAAGCCTGCTGCTGACAGCTGCAGACTAAACTAAACCCTAAACCCCAGAAGTGCCTTCAGTAAACCCAAGACTGCGCAAGAGCTCAACCACCAAACCACCAAAATATCCCCAACCCGCCGAAAATACTCCAAAGAATCTCCTCAAAACCCTAAACCCCTAAACCCCTAAACCCCTGAACCCCAAACCCTAAGACCATAAACCCTAGACCCAAGACATCCCCCAAAACATCCCCCAAAACCCGGAGCTCGAAGCCCGCGAAAACCTCCCTGGCCTCCTCCGGAGCTCCTCGCAGCTCCTCCAGGGTGAGCTCGCCTCACAGGTTTGGGGCTTTAGGAATTTTGGGGCTTTTAGGGTTTAGGGTTTCGGGTTTAGGGTTTAGGGTTTCGGGTTTAGGGTTTAGGGTTTAGGGTCTAGGGTTTTGGGTTTTGGGGTTTTAGGGGCTCATAGGGGTTAGAGGGCTTGGGGGTTTGAGGGTTTTAGTGCTTTAGGGGCTTTAGGGCTTTAGGGGTTTCGGGGGGGAGGTTGAGGGTTTGGGGGTTTAGGACCTGAGGGCCCTGCTGATGCGTGTAGCCCGGCAGTTGACGGAAAGGCCCCGAGCCCTCAAAGGAGGCCCCCCCCATACCCCTTCAAAAGTATAAAAATACCGCATATCCATCGGGTCCTCCCAAAAAGAACCCCATAAGGAGCCCTTAAGGGCTCCCTGTAAGGGTCCCCTTTAAGGAGCCCCTTTTGGGCTCCCTGTAAGGAGCCCTTAAAAGGGCTCCTTATCCGAAAAAAGGCGGGGCCTGAGCCGTCAGAGTCGAGCTCGAGGAACATGATCTTCAGCTCGTCGAGCCTCGTAGGGGGGTTTAAGGGGTTTAGGGGTTTTTAGGTGTTACTGCAAGGTTTAGGGGTTTAGGGGTTTTTGGGGGGTTACAGTAAGGTTTAGAGGTTTTGGGTTTAGGGTTTAGGGCTTAAGGTTTAGGGGTTTAGGGGCTTAGGGGTTCAGGGTTTAGGGATTTAGGGTTTAGGGTCTAAGGTCAGCTTAGGTTCTTTACGGTGTAGGTCGTCAAGGGTGTAGGATGCTCTTGCAAAGGGGTCTTCTTTGATGAAGAGTTCAGGGTATGTGCGTGGGGTAGGCCTGGCGCTTTCAAGAGTTTAGGGTTCTTGTTTGAAGGTTTTTGGGATTCAGGGTTTAGGATCAGGTTTACTTTGGGGATTTTTCGGTTCAGGGTGAGGTTTACTTTGGGCATGTTTCGGTTGGGGGGCTCGGCACCGGCTTTGGAGTGTCTTTCCTGCTTTTGTGGTGTGGGTGGGGATGCTTGCAGTGGCTCAGCGTCTGGCTTGGGCTTGCCTCTCCGGTGGCCTTGTTTGACTGACCTAGCGTTTAGGGTCTAAGGCTGCAAGGTTTAGGGTTGCAGTCCAGCAGTCAGCAGGTACCACTGCCGTGGAGCACTATCATAGTCAGTAGTGAACAGCCACACCCTAAACTTCCCTAAGCCCTAAACCCTAGATCGTGGTGTTGGTTTGTTGCGGCACTGCAGGTCTTGGGAGGCGTAGCTCCCTCAGCCCGAGACAGGGCCTTTCGGACATAGCAGGCTTCAGATGTACATCAGAATCTCATCCCCTGCCCTTATATCCCGCATCTAACGAATAAAGGGGGCCTAGCAATCCAACCTTTGTTTTGAGCTTTGTTACAGTCTGACCATATGAAGGAACCCTAAGGAACCCTGCTCCAATGCCTGAGGCTCCCGAATTAACTACTGCGTGGGTAGTTCTGTAAATTAGGATCCCAGTTAGGGTCCTAGGTAAGACCTCCAAAAGGGGACCGCCATAACTACCTATGCAGCCTCCCGCCCAAGCTTCCTGGGAACTGCCTGCCGGTCTCCGAACCAAAAGGTCCGCAGCCCGGAAACGAGGAACCCGGCCGGGCTTGGGGTGTGGGGTTCAGGGCTCAGAAAAAAAAGCCCCTATAATGCATGATTTGAAGCAGGCTTTGATCAGAGTCTGTGTGAGGTCGACACGGGCCTGGGAGTTCATCATCTCTCGAGTAAGGATCGCCCTACGAAAGAACCCCTTCGTCGTCCATGCAATGTCCAAAAAAGTTACAGAACAAACCCCAAGCCCTAAACCCTAAACCCTAAACCCCTATCCCCTAAACCCCTAAACCCTAAAATGGTGTAGGTCCTCAAACCTTTTGTCAGGTCGAGCTTCTGCCGTCGCTTCTGCACGGCCTCGTATGCTCTCTTGACCTGAGAGAACTGGGCGTAGTGCGGGTGCATGTCATAGTAAGGATTTACCGAGAAAGTTTTCTATCCTTGCTTCTATAGTTTAGGTTTAAGAAGAATCCCAGAAGGCCCGTGTCGGAAGGGCTCTTTGGTCTTACTGGGCGCTGCAGGTTGATTCGTGAGGGTTCGGGTCTGGTGGTTGCAACCTCTTCCAATGGTGTTGAGCTCCTCCAAACCCAACAGCCAAATCCGGGCGCGTGGTACGATCGCGATGACTCTGGGATGAGGATGAGGAACGTGATGATGCTACTGGTGATGCTGCCGATGATGATGAGGATGGTGACGATGGCGATGACGATTATGCTGGCCATGATGAAAGCAGTGGTAGTCGCAGCGCCGTGATGCTGGCAGTCTTGGAAAATTTTGGAGTCAGGCTGTCGGCATTCCGACCAGTCTGACTGCTTCTGCTTCCAGCTCAACAACATCGTAAGCGAAGACCCGCATGACGTTCACGTTTTCAGCGATGCTTTGTTTCGATTGGACAACCCTAAACCCTAAACTCCCAGCCCTAAGCCCGAAACCCGAAAATTCTGCGGATCTGCCGGTTGCTGAGATGATTCTGCTTCTCGCTCAACTCTGCCTCCCTCCCGAACTCCGTAAATCCAAATCGCCAAAACCACCAAACAAGAGGAAGAAGGTTGCGAGTCGAGTTGCTATGAGGGCTACTACTTGAGCTGCTAAAGCTTCCTCCGCCCTGCCTCAAAGGAAGACGATACGAAATACCTGTGACTTTGCCAAGGAGGGCCAAGACACGTCCTTGTCTGCACTGGCCTGGTCCAGTGCTGAGTTCACCATCACTGCAGTGACCAGGTTCATCAGCGAGATCCTCGGTAAAACAAGGCTCAAGACGGGGACTTAACGTGCCCTAAACCCTGAAGCAAAAACCACAGGGGCTTTACATGGGGCGATTCGTATTAGGGTATCATATTGGGTTTCAAGGGTGTAGGGTGTCGGTGCCTGAGACTGCTTTAATGCTATCCCTCACGGGTGCCCTCATGGAGATCAGGTAATAAGCTTCAAGTTGAACCAGTCGTCTGATCTCTTTGGGCATCCATGCCATGAAGAGCATCGAGTGCAGGGCTCGGGCTTGAGGGCTCAAGGCTGGGGGTTTGAGGTTTAGGGTTCGGGAGCTTAGGTCTGGATCTCGGTCCAACTAAGCAGAAGGTTACGGGTCTGGGATCTTGAAGGCGGGGGTTGAGATTTTACGATTTAGGCCGGCTTTCGGGGCTTACGATTTAAGCACTAAGGCCCGAGGGTTTAGAAGCACGGCGTTTTTTGGGCGTTGACGGGCGGATCATGATAACCAATCCCGAAGCAATCCTGAACCTCAAGCAGCCTAAACACGAAACCCATGTAAATTCGCCCAACACAGGACAGCTTGACCCAAAAAAAAAGCTGAACCCCAAACCGAAAGCTCCTAACCCGAAAGCCAAACCCATATAACCTTAACCCCCAAAACCCCCCCGAAACACCCGAAACCCACTCCCGGAGCCAGGGCACGCCATCACCAGAATCACAGCCATGAAGTAGCCGAGCCTGTTACGTCGGCGGGGGGTTCGAGGGCTTACCTGGGCTCTAGAACACCTTCCCTGTTGCGACTCCCTGTTAGGATTTCCTTGCACACGTCCTTAAGGAAGTAGGAGGTTATTTGGGGTTCCAGGAGGCTTTAGAGTTGAAGTTTAGGGGTGTAGGGTAAGTTGCTGTGGGTTTTGGCCTAAGGACTTCCGAGTTAGCGTTTTATAGCCGTGGGGGATCTCCTGGACGTTTGGAGTTCTTGAAGCCTTTGGTGATTTGGAGTCTTGGGTGGTGGCGGGGTGTTGGGCCCAGGGCTTTGGGTGTGGGTTTAGGGTTTAGGGTTCAGGGGGATTTCGGTCTGGGAAGTAGATTGTTGAGTGCCAAGTTGGCCCTTTGAAGCCTCTGGAACAGATCCTCTTGAACTCAACTTGAGCAAAACATGTGGGCACCCCAATGGATGGAAGACGGCTTTGGGGTATACATTGTACTATAAGTATACTAGGCCCAAGTAATTGGGGACTATAAGGGAATTGTTACTACATATTTCGATCCCTATTTTCTAATATTATAGAACATCCAGGTCCAGTAGTACCAAACCCAAAACCCCATTGTCGTTTGACTTTCGAATAATACCTCCAGCCCCCTGTCAAATTATCAAGGCACCACAAACTTTCATTCCAACTCTTACAGACCCCTATACAGTCATGCACAACCCTCTGGCCGCAGAGAGAAGATCCAACTGTAGGGTATGTCGGGTCACTCAATAATTAGAATAGGGTTTTGGGGTATCTTGTATTTTTATATGTATAATAAGGAACCCCTAAACATAGTATAATTATTCAGGCCCTATATTTTGTCGGGACACTCACGGCTTCGGGTGCAGGGCTTCATCGCGCGCCTTTTCACGAAACCGCCCTCCTGAAAGCCCCTGTACAAACCACGAGATTAGGGTTCAGGGGTTTAGGGTTTAGCAGTTTAAGGGTCAGGGTTTAGGGGTTTGGGGCTTAGGGTTTAGGGTTTAGGGTTTAGGAGTTGAGGGGTTTAGGGGTCTAAGTTCTGTGGAAACCCTGGTTGCAGGCAGCGCGCAGCGCCGGGTTGTGCGTCACCAACGGGCGGTAAACCGTGCTCACACTGTCCAGCGTGAAACACTGGAACAGGGTAAACCTGATCACAAGTTGCGGTAGTTCTGGCGGTGACTCTGCATATGTTGAGCTTTGGATTGGAGGTGCCAGACTTTGCGTTGCTTAGAGGCTTCAGGGCAAAGGGCTGATCTTCTCTTCCCACTCCCAAACTACATCAAGAGGCATTGCATCGACAAAGCCGTCAAAGTTTTCGGTCACGGCGAGGTTGTAAGGGTGGTCCAGCGGCAGCGTCTGATCCACGTTGATGGTTTCCTCCGAAGGAAAACAGAGAGAGAGAGAGAGAGAGAGAGAGAGAGTGAGAGACGGAGAGGGAGAGAAAGATTGATCTGTAGGAGCTAGCCTTATTGCAAGTAGTAGGGCCTGAATAAATGAGACTCGGTTTGCGGGG